TGTTGTTTCTTTCATGATGTATACCTTGTCATATACAAATAAAATAAAGAAATGATGTTTACCTACTTAAAAAAAAATATATATATATATATATATCTTGTAATATATGAATAAATAAATAAACAATATTTATCTACTCTAATAAATAAATAAATTATTGATTAATTAATCATATAAAAGTTTATAAATTAAAATCATTTTGTTATTATTATTAATTGCAATATTAGTTTAAATTATAGTATTTTAATATACTTTAGTAAAATTAAAAGATAAGTAATATACAATATTTTTAATTCTATTTTAATAAATATTATATTGAAGTTGAAATTGAAAAAAAAATAAATTAAGTTATTGTTATATGTTAAAATATAAAATAGTAATGGTACAATTTTTGATTTTATAATACTTGATATAAAAATTATAGTTTTAACAAGATTAAATTAATAATTAGTAGATCTATTGCTATACTGCAATCATCACTTATATAATGTTGAATAAAAACATGTTAATTTAGATACAAGATATATAAAAGTATTAAATATTGAACTGAGTTTATTTTAAAAGAATTTTTATTTGTTGTTGTTTTCTCTAATATATATTTTTTCTTTTTATACATGTAGAAAAATCAAAAAAAATTTTAAATTTAAATTGTTTTTTAAAAAATGTTTTTTTAGATTTATATAATCAGATTTTTTAAAAACAAGTTACTAATTCAGTAAATAATAATTATATTTTGAATATTTTGAAAAGGTATAATTATTTTAAAAATAATTATTAAAAAACAAATATATTATGAAATAAGTTTATTGATATTATAAAACTTTTTAAATTTTATTTATTTTAATAATTAATTTATATATTAGAATATAAATATTGTTATTACTTTACAAAATAATGATAATGATTAAATAAGTAAACAATAGTGTAATATTAAAAAATATAATAAATTTGATATATTTTAATTAATTTTAACAATTAATTTATTTAAAGCAATATTAATTAGCTTATTTATCATAATATTATTTTGTATTATAGTATTAATCAGTTTACATAAAAACAAGACATCTTTTATAATTATTTAAAATATATGAATTTATATTTTTGAAATTTGAATATTATTTATATTAAAACTCTAAAAATTAATATGCAAATAATAATCAATTACATTTTTAAAAAATATTTTTAAACAATAAATTTTCTTTCAAATTTTATTTTATTAGGTTTTATTGTTTTATATCTTGTAATTATAATTTTGTTTGTTTTTTAATTAAATTAAAAACAAAATTAAAATATTAAATAAAGAATTTAAATATAATACAAATTTTAAAATTAAAAATCAAAAGCTATTATTATCTTATTATTTGATATCAAATAAAAAAATTTTTTTTTAAAATCTTTATATTATCTAAAAATAAATATTATTATTTTTCAAAAAATTTTCAACATGTCAAAATTAAATAAAAAAGTACAGTATTAATAAAATTTTTTTAATCATAATTTATTGTTTTGAATTAATACAATAATATTGAGGAAATATTTATTTGATATTAATAAGCAATATTAATTTGGTTATAACAATTATAATTAATAAATAAGTCAAATGTGTATTTAATAAAGTTTTGTATTTGATATTTATCTGTAATAAAAAAATTTTTTTTTATAAAAAGTTGTTAAAGGCAATCATAACTGTTTATTTTAATTTTAATAAAGATTAATTGAAGCCTTTATATTTTTTTTAACTTGTTTTTAAATATACTTGTTATCTTTTGCTCTATATACTGTATGATTTATTCAAATAAATTTAAATAAGCTTTGTTACAAGAAAGTATCGTTTATAAATATATAATAAATATGCAAATTCATTAAATAAATAACATACAAGTTAATAATAATATAATTATAGATTCAGTAAATGCAATTCTTTTTTTAATTAAATAATATCTTTAAAATTATTTAACATATCCGAAGATAGATATTTATTAATATATTCTTGCCTTTTGTTTTTTATATTTTTTTGAAAAAACAAAAGAATAAAAGCAAAAGATGCGAAAAGGTCACTGAGTATTAAAAGTATAAATTGCGTATAATATTATGGCTATAGGAAAATTTCCTCTTAACATTAAAGTAAAATGTTTGCGCAATGGCTTTTGGTTTATTTAATAAAATTTTGTTTTACGTACATTTTAGAGCAATGTTATCATTTGAAATTCACTTTCTTCAATGAACATGACATGTCATGCATTTATTGGCTCGATTAGTACATTATCATTCTGAAACCCAAATTTATTCAACATGTTGCAATATTTAAAATAAGCACGTGACAATAATAAAAACAAGTTCACCCGTTTGATTAGAACCTTTGATTGAAGAAATCAAGATTCGATTTAATTGTCATATTATCATCATTATCGCTATCACCTTATTGTTATTGTTGTTGTTATCGCTGGCTCCTGCAATGATATTTTCATTGTTCTAGGGTTCAAATAAAGACGGTGCGACCGTTAGTTCTTAGAATAGCGATAACGCAATTTTTTTGTAAAACCGTTGATGCAATATTGGATTTCAGAATGAATATGTTTTTTTACGCTAATCACGCAACTAAAGTAACTACCTATCACAAGTCTGAACAAAGTGTTGGTATCAGGAAAATAAATTTATAACTATGTTCCTGATGTTTATCTGCTGCAATGCACGACCTAGAAACCTTAATTCCGCCTCCGAAATATGCCTAATCCGTTATTGTGTGCTGTATATGGTAGTTATTACTATGGCACAAGTATTGATTTATCATGAAAGCATTTCCGAAAAGTTATTTAAATGCCCAATGATACGGTTCGCTTTTTTCTAAAAAATCAAAAAAAAAAACAAATTCCACAATATAAATTTAAACCTTTATCTAAATCAACAAGCATATTCAGAATTTCAAATATGGCTGGAAAATATGGAGTAAATGTGGAAGGAAAAACCGAAGAGAGGAGTTGTAATCTGAAATCACTTGAAATGGTTTTAAACGAAAACACAAGCCTTCGAAAAAGTGCAAGAGCACAATTATTGATAGCTTCTGCGATCTCGTTTCTTTCCGTCGTCATTGGAGCCGCTTTCCTCATTTTAGAATCATCTGATATCTCAGACACTATGTTAAATTCCATGATGGGGCTTTTATACGGAGGTGTTTTTCTTTTAGGCGTACAAAGTCTCATTTCCGATTTGAGTTCAAAGAATGTAGATACAAAAGGATTTAAAAACAAATCTAAAATTAGCGATAACGTTATTCTACTCTCTCTGGAAAATTTTCAAGATAAGGGCAGCATTGCAAGTGTCACGAAAATTATTAAAGAACGAAGTAAAAATTTTCGAACATGGAGAGTTTGGTGTGCAGCCTGGACCATCGTGCTTACTCTTAGTCTCATGGTTCCTATTTTTTCTTATATTTTCATCGGTCGTTTTGCGTCAGACATAGTGTCGTTTAATATTTCAGTAGAATACATCCTCATTGGGAGCGGGATTGTTGGTTTAATTTTCTGCATAAACACGTATTTTATCATATGGATGCCAAGAATTTTCAAGACTTTTTTCTCTTCCGTATTATTAATACCTTTTACGTTGATTCTTTTCATACAACTATCTATGGTGCGAATTATACGCTTTCGTTGTGTACCTAAGGGTGACGACATTAACGCTCCCTTAAACGTAGTTTTTAATGAGATCATGGAGGAAAATATTAAAGTTCGATTATTTAAATGTGGACATACGTTTACAATCCTACGTATCGTTCTAGAAAAGAACGAGAAACATAATATTGAACGTATTTTGCATGGGTTAAAACCGAATAATCCAAGAGATCCCGAACATATTCATGATATAATTGATCCTGATCTCTTGTAGTTTATTTTCAATTAGAAATATTCTTAATACTGTAAATCAGCATATACCAAGAGGGGAGAAAAAAATGTTCATGTGACGTGTATAATAGCCTTACCCAATTAATTTGAGATTTTTGAGAATTTTATGGAATTTATTTATATGTATAGAGAGAAATGTACAAGCAACAAGACAGACAATAAAATATCTTTTTATTCAACTACTCACTACTCACTATTCACTATATTTTCCAATACATTCACTTACCTCGTGCGGCATATAAACGCCCTTTCGACGTTACACGATCGATCGCGACGTAGCGACAGCCTGTCGATTTTACCTTAATGCATATGATTTAAAGTTAATGTGATGGTTATCATGTGGTTACGCACAAGTTAAAGTGGTACTGCATTATACCATAGTACAATAATTCGTACATTAAACGCATAGCTTGGACAATTTATTATGAATCTTTCTTAGAGGCATACTCATTGCATCAATATTGTTATAAACTGGTAAAAATTCTTATTAATAATCAATTTTTTAAATGCTTTTAAATTAAAAATCGAGATATTTATTAATGTTAACATTGTTTATAGTGTAACAGTAACTGGCGAGTCAGTAAGAATAACTAAGATTCACATAATGATCAGTAAGTATAACAATGTAATTTTTAATAAACGTAAGGTGGATTTGATGTTGGCCAAAAAAAAATTGTATTAATTTATTCTTCCTTTTATATATCTTTACACTGAATAAAACCAATTAAAGTTAAAATCCATAAAGTTATTATTAAATAAATTTTCATATTTCTTTTTATTACATAACTATTTAATCAATTCATTATATCACAATCAATTCTTTTAAATTTTGATTATATTACTTTTATTTCTGTTACAATAGTTTTTTTTAGAAATTTTTAGTTTATTTAATAAATGTTAAGTTTGTAAAAAAAAATATTATTAAATATTAAAACAATAATATTTTATAAGAATTTATTATTAACTATAGTATTACTATATCTTTTACAGATATACAACAATCAATTATTCTAATTATTGTAACTTTGTTGTGAATTTTTTTTTAAAAAAATTATTAAAGTAAATGTACAATAATACATAACTTTATCAAAATACAATATCTAAATAAATATCAAGTATTTTCTATATATGAATGCAATTATATATATTAAAAGATATCTTATCTATTGTCTTTTTATATATAGAATTAACATTATCCAGTAACCATTATTATTACTAGCTTATTTGTTTATTTTTATAATTCAATTATGTATACTACTATCTAAAAGATAAATTTATATGTTAATGGAATCATTATATACAAAAATAAAAATTCTATTACTAGTTTTAAGCCACTTATTGTGAATTTAAGTTATAACTGCATTTGTTATAAAAGAAAACTTTATAAAATATTATTATAAAAATTAATTTCAATTATTCCATTTACTTATTTTTATTAATTCTCAAAATATACTATTCGTATAATATAATACTACTGTTTTTATTATCTGTAAAACTGATATTCTTGTTTAAATTTCAATTTAATCTTGTATAATTATTACTAGATATATTTGACATAATAATATTTGTTTAAATTCTTGCTATCTATAGCTGATTATCTTGTTATTCTATTTATATTTTTAAGTTTTATAAAATACTATGTTTGAAATCAATTGGCTTATTATTATCTCTGTAAATTGTATAACAGAATTTGTATTCTGGTTTGAATTTAGATTGATAAATTTTTATTAAAATTAAATTAGAAATCTTTTATTATACAATCTTTCTTATTTTAACTCGTTTTCAGCTTATAATTGTCAAATTCTATTTTTATATAGCTTAATTAAATTTGAATATAATTAAAAATTATTGAATGTGATATATATTAAATATTCAGTAAACTTACATATAAAGATAATATATTTTTGCTTTTTGTAGATATTAAAATAAAGATATATACTTAAAAACTTGAGAGTATTATTTATTGTGCTATTGATTTACAGATCAATTTAAAAACTTTTGTTTTAACAAATAAATATTCAATATATAAATATTTATTATATGTATATATACAGTGTATGATTTATAATAAAGGTTTTAACAAAAACTACCTTCAAACCTGACTTCTCTCTTCTACAACACACACTTACCTTTCTCAAAAAAAATCATTTACCAACCACTCAATCCCAATCTAATTTATATAATTTCTGTCTCAAAATTCTTTCCAACACATTACCAATCAAATCTTACTTACATTTTACCTTACCCCATCTCTATACTAACAATCTTTGTCTGTAAAGAGAGCAACCCAGCTATAACCCAAATAATAAAAAACATCAAAGCACAAGCTATTCTTTCCTTCAAAAACAACAAAAACTTTAATTCAAAAACTTTTCAACAGCTCATTAACTCACCACTCAACTGTATAAACCTAGCTCTCGGCCTCACAAATACTAACTCCTTTTTCACAAA